ATCATTAGGAGTTGGCTTAATATTGGCAGCATAATAGTACAAAGTTCTCTCTTAAGGCCTATGATTTGTCTAACCATGGGATCTTGACCCCTTAATGGTGGTAGGCATAGGTTTCCTCTTAAATACTTTTTTGTGCCAATGTCACATTAGACTCCACCCTTTGTGAAATGTCCAACTGAACCCTCATGGTTATCTCCTTCTCTTTGTATTCATTCCAATACAACAGATGACGTTTCCAACAAGGATGTAGATCCAATGAGTGAATTACACTTTAGCCCTTCCTCAGTCACTAGGGTGATAACCAGTCTTCTCTATGACTGCTTCCTCCCTTTCATGTGAACCTCTTCACTCAGCATCCTTTATCTTGTCTCTTCCTCGGCATCTCCCATGAGTTTGAAATTAGTTAGCCATCACCAACAGATCATCTAGGCTCTTCCTCTGAGCCTTTGTGTTTACTAATTAGTTATCTTTTTGACTTTAGAAACAGACACCATTGGTAAACTTCATCTATCCTCAGATTATGGCTAAGAACATCTGAACCACAGAATGGTCCTCCTCACTGCATTCTTGGGAAGGGGATGGGCTATTCTGCTTTATTAATGTCTTAGTTAGGGTTTCATTGCTGTGAATAGACACCATGACCACAGAAACTCATGGAAAGGAAAACATTTATTTGGGACTGGCTTACAGTTTAGGGGTTTAGTCCATTATCATCATAGCAGGAAGCATGGTGGCTTGCATGTAGCAGGCTTTCTTTTGGGCCACCAACCAGCTCCCAAATCATGACACAGAGACTTTTTATTAGTTATGAATGCTCAGCCTTATCTTATGCTTGACCCACTAGCTCTTATCACTTAAACTGCTTCTCTTCATCTACATTTTGCCTCAGGGATTTGCCTTTCTTTCTTTCTGTATGTCTTACTTTCCTGCTTCTCATGTCTGGCTGGCTGGTGGCTGCCTAGCTTCTGGCCTTGGGTGTGTCCCCCTCTTTCTCCCTCATTGTCTTCCTTCCCTCTTGAGCATAGACTTCTCCTCCTACTTTATACTCTCTTCCTGCCAGCCCTGCTTAGCCCTCTCCTGCCTAGCTATTGGCCATTCAGCTTTTTAGGAGACCAATCAGGTGCCTTAGGAAGGCAAGGTGAAACAAATGCAACACATCTTTACATAATTAAATAAACACATCATAAACAAATGTAATGCATTTTTACATTGTTAAGCAAACACAGCATAAACAAATATAACACACCTCTACATAGTTTCAAGTGATATTCCACAACACATTCAGGCAGACATAGTGCTGTAGGAGGAGCTGAGAGTTCTACATCCAGACTGGGAGGCAGCAGAAAGAGGTTGCCACACCAGGCCTGGCTTGAGCATCTGAGAAATCAAAGTCTGCCTCTAGTGACACATTTCCTCCAACAAGGCCACACCCCCTGATAGTGCCACTCCCTATAAGCTTGTGGGGGGATGTAGTGGGTAGCCATTCCAGCTTGGGTCTGGAAGTTCCAACCCCCATTGAGACTCTGGCAACTGTCATGCCTACGAGGTGGGGCCAGGGGAGGCACCTGGAGACCCGAGAGCTGGATGGGCCAGAGCTCTCTCTGTGCCGGGACCCTGAACGGTGGAGGTTGGCCGCGCAGAGCTCCAGAGAACACTGCTGCACTGCGATACACCTGCAACCTACCTGCTGTGGGATGTTCTGTATGTCCTGTGGGAGCCCATTCTCAGGTTCTTTGTGGCGTTACCCAGCAGGTCCGTATAGAGGATGATTAGGACCATGGGCCTGAGTGCAGGTGTTTGAGATGGTCTGCACTTGGCTGTGCTGGGGGATGGTCTGTATGTCAAGTTGCTCTGATT